ACCCTGTGGGGTTAGTTTCCATAGAACCCTTTCTTGGTCCGTACTGTTGTATAATTCTCCTATCCTCTGCCCATTTCTAGACCTCCACTCAGGTGATCTCATAGGCAATGAAAAGAATACTCCGGAAGTGGGGATGGAGAGAGGTGTCGACAGCCGTTCTTGTCAGTCCTTGGGTCAGAAATGCCACCTGTGTGGCAGATTGTCCACCTTCAGCGTTGCCCTGATTTGCGGGAGTGAGAGATGGCAGGCCGAGATGACTATACATAAGCACTCAGCTATGGCAGGTCGACTAAGCTTTAGGAAAAGGAATCAATGCCACATGTCTACTCAATGATGGGTCTTTAAATGTACAAATTTTTATATAGCTTTAACAGACCCAATGAGGTTGAGCTGAAAACCTGGGGCGTCAGGCATGACTGTGCCTTTAAATATTTTCTGGAATGTCCTTCCATCCGAATCATCTGTAACTTTCTCCCACCAACACGTGTGGAGGAGCAGTGTTGCACGGCTGCTTCTCAGATGTGGCTTATTGTGTGCAAATGTCCCGCTAGTCTCTCCCTGGAGGCCACAGAGCAGATCTTCCAGCCAATGTTACTTTGAATATTTTGGTATTATATTTTGACTGGCCAACAAAACTTCTTTAGTAATTAACTAATTTCTATTTTTTTATAAGACTGTTTGTGAGGTGGAGGGCGAACCAAGTGTTACCACCCCGCAGGGTAGTGAGGTACTCTGCAGTTTATTGGCCCAAGTAAAAAGGGAAGAGTTTGGTAATATTTCACTTGGGTTGATTAAGTAGCATTAGCAACGGCAAACAGGTTGAAATGTATTAATACATTTTTGCCTAAAATTATATCAATACCTTATATTTCTGAGTCAAAAATTAAACTTTCACATATCCATTTGGACATGAGGTATTAAACCTTTCAACTCTGTACTGTGAGGGTAAATATTTAACACACAAAGTTTGGGCTTCTGCTTAGCTCTGACTTCCATTTAGTAACATCTGCTCTGCCTTGCTTTCTGGGTTGCTGTGTCTGCACATTGTGGGAATAACTTTTCTATCTTAGTTCTGTTTCTCATTTTTTATGCATTACCTTAAAACCCAAGTCTTCCCCACTGGCCTAAATTCTCTTTTTGTTTATTCGAACACCTTACTTATGAATTTCCTTTTGAATCCTTGTCTGAAATATTCTAAATAGTTGGAAGATGCTGTCCAATTTAAGTCACTCTGAGGGCAGGCACCTGCCTTGAAGCCTGGACAGTATGTCTTACACAGTGGCAGAGGTGGGGAAGGGGTAACTATGGGAGGGAAATAAATGATTATTAAATACAGTTTATCCCAAGAGAGTTACATCTTTGATTTTTAAGGAGCATGATATGGAAAATAACTGACTTTTTTTTCTACCCAGTTTTTATTCCGTCAGAGACAGGAGATTTGCTGGATGTACCAGTAATTTGGCCTGAAATGGGTTTGGGATTTAGTTTGGAGCCTTAAAATCATAACATTTCAGGTGTGGACGTGGCTTTATGCTACCATCGGATAATAGCCATCAGACTCCCTTTCTTTCAGTAGGACTTAAGTTCATTGTCATTTCTTTCCCCAGACCGCCACTCTCACAGGGTTAGCCTCCCTTCGGGCCCCTTCACCAGTCTGTCAATTCAGTCCTCTACTGAGGTATGTGCGGACCACACTGTTAGAGCATTTGTTCAGACGCATGTCTCCCCCTTTGGACTGTAAGCAACCTAAAGGCAGAACAGGGTATCTTTGATGCTGTCCTTTCCAGTGCCGAGCTCAAGGCCTGGTGTATGCAGGCACTTAAAGGATTAACACCTTCCCAGTAATGACTCCCAAATCTCTGGGGCTTACAGCAATCTAGGGTTGGCAAGAGCCCTGTTCCACGGTGTCCTTGTTGGAGAGTGTGGCCTCAGGAAGCCTCCGCAGACGTGGATGTGTGCAGGAGGATGGAAATGGCGACTCATGCTCCAGTTCTTGACGGTTCAGCTTGGAACTGACACATCACTTTCATATTTGATTGTTCAAAGCAAGGGACATAGCCACATCTAATGTCATGGGGATGAGGAAGAGCAACACGGCTGTGCTTCTGGAAGGAGGAGAGCAGGAATATTAGTGGGCAACGTTAATGCCTGCATACCAGTGTCTGATATGTGGTAGGCACTTAATACCTACTTGATGAAGTGCCTAAAACTACCTGTTGAGATTAATTTTTTCTATACAATAAGCAGAATGACATGAAATCATAAAATACCTTAATAAGTACATTTTTTAAAAAATGAGGATACCAATATTGTCTAAGGCATGTTCGGCAAACATCTGGAGACTTAAAAATAAACACTGTGTTTATAATATTCATATTAGAATGGTGTTGTATTTGATTTTGTGGTTTTTCAGATGCATAAAATATAAAATGGGTAAATTGTCATAATTAACATTTTTGTCTGAGCCATGTAGATGAGTTCAGGAGGTTTGTCAGAGTCTTCAGATATTTGCATATTAAGTTAGTCTAGTCAAAAGTTCTTTAAAATAAACTTTTTTTTGGAAGAGCCAATACCTGGCTCAAAAATTGGTCAGGAGCTTAGATAAGTCTAATTAACCTGAAAATGAAGTATTGCTATAGGTTGTATTTTCCTATTTTACAATAAGCAGGTTATTTTTTCTGATTGTTAAAGTAACCCAAATACATTGTTTAAACTGTGGAAAATAGAAACGACTATGAGAAAGGTGAATTAAAAATCACCACCTAGATAAAACCACAGCTAACTTTTTGGCATGCTTCCAGTCCATGGTTATTCTTGTTGTAGGAGAAGAGGCATATAGACAAGGCAGTAGAAGATACTGGCCCGTACAGGGAGATGGCAGTGGAAATGGTAAGAAAAGATCAGATGAGAATATGTTCTAAGGACAGTGTTGGTAGGACTTTTTGATAAATAAAATGAGGAAGGACATGATAGAGCACTGATAGAGGATAGAAGAGTTACTGAGGGAGGGAGTTCCTTAACCCCCTCATGATAAATTAGGCTGTAATATCCTCATTATGCACCACCTATTTGCTTGTTTCCTCCTTTCAAAGACATGTAACTTCAGGGAATTGGCCATTTTGCTGGGACTGCAAACCCACCGGAGATGAAGATAGTTAGGAATAGAAGGGACCAAGCCTAGAGGTCATTTTGGTTTCCGTCCAAAGGGGAGTGGTGAGACAAGTCTCAGAACAGGCTGCTCTTGCTCTCTAGGTCTGAATGGTGGTAGTGGACAGTTGCTGAGAGGGACGTTTGTCTGGGGGGGCAGAGATGGTGCTGTTCCTGACCAATGAAAGATCTGGCGAGAGCCAAATGCAGGGCCAGATTCCAGCTGGAATCTGAAATTGGAGGCAATTCTAAAGGAGAATTTTTTTTTTGAGGACATTTCAAAAGATAATTATGCTTTTATCCATCAGGGCAGGGCTTTCGGTTGGAAGATAAGGAACCCAAGGCAGAGCTTGTTGGGAAAAGCTGCAGCTTTATAGGGCGATGTATAATACCGAGTCCGTTGCCAGGATTTAAGCAGCCAGGCTGTTTCTTAGTCCCACTCTGTGGACAAAAAGCAGTTCCTTATTAGGCTGTCCTGAATTTGCCTGCGAAGTCTGTGAGGCTGAGCAGGCAAGGCGAAGTTCCTTCATCTGAGCCTGGGAGGGAGAGGGCAAGGCTGTGATTGAAATTAAAATCTTGGCTTCTTTTCAGTGTCTCACCTATGGGACAGTGGGAGTCAGGCGAGGGTGGAGATAAGAGAAATGTGAGCCATAACCCTCTTCCTTCATCCTGTGGCCAGGTTACAGAAACAAGCACACTCTGAAATTGATTACCAGCCCTAAGCGACACTGTTTAGGTGGAGAGCAGAGATGTGATAACTAGTGTCTGAGGGGCTTGAGGAGTCGGAGGAGCGCCCTTGCCGTGCCTGAGTTCCAGGGGAATATTCATGCTTTCACTCTGATGACGATCTAAAGGAAATCTTTTTCTCAGTGAGATGCGTAAGCCTTCTCATTTGCAGTGATACTTTGTAATTCAAATATAGTTTCATGGACTAGGCTAAAACTTCAGTTTCTTCAATTAATGTTGTTCAAGCTAGAGCCCAAAAATATTTGTATGGACGTGTACATTTTCAGGGAAATTGTAACTGTGGAAGATAGAACCCTAATCTGAGTCTTGAGGAATGGGTGGGTTCGAACAGGTGCAAAATATGGAGAAGGTGCTTCTGAGAGGAGGGAGTTAGAATCAAGGATGAGCGTGGTGCACTTGGGGTACCTGGGAACTCGAAGGATATGTCAGTTTTAGGTTAAAAACCCCAATCCACCCTATCTCTGATAGGGCAGTAATTTGGGGAACACTCTTCCCTCTATTTCCTCTATTACCCGCCTTTTTCTGGTGGTTGCAGGAGCTGTAAGAAGTCTTCTTTGTTGAGAAGGTTTGCTGCAACCTTTCTTAAAGGTTCTCTTCTAACCTTGATGTTTTTGGTCAGAGCCTCACATACCATGTTCTTTCTCTGCCAGAGTGTGAACTTTGTTTCCTCGGGACTTGACTTTTGCGCAGTTGATGATTCTAGCAGAGACGTCTAAAGGAAGGCCCATCGCATCATCCACCCCTTGGGTGTTTGCCAGGTGCTCAGGACGCGCATTCCGCCCAGGACTAGGACACTGTGGGGAAATTTTCTTTTTTTATGTGCCAGCCTAATCTTTCACCCGTGGTTAGAGATGTGTTCCTCTCAAATATCACTGATGTTCTCTTGAATTATTTTTTCTTTTGAACAAAAATATTCCACAGCAGTGTTCTTCGTTGTCCCTCATTTTGCAGTACACTTTCATTAGGTTTATTACTAAAAGAGAGATTGCATTTGTTGATGACATTAGGGCAGGCTGCAAGGCTGTGTGTTCAGATGTGGGCTGACAAGCACTTGGTCTTTCTAAATCTCCTTTCAGTAAAACTTTCTCTTTTTTTTTCCTTTACAGATTCCAGCAACATTATGGCAGAGCATAGCCACGTGCAACAACAGCATGGTAGTTTAGAGGCAAGCTTTGCCTCAAATTCCCTGGAGAACGATTCCCAAAACAGGATGGAGAGTCTGAGCTCAAAGAAATATTCTTCCAGCCTGAGATTTAAAGCCAACGGAGACTATTCTGGTTCCTATTTAACGCTCTCACAGCCTGTGCCTGCGAAGAGAAGCCCTTCCCCTTTGGGAACGAGTGTCAGAAGTAGCCCCTCCTTGGCCAAAATCCAGGGAAGCAAGCCGTTCTCTTACGATGGAACTGACAAAAATATCGCCGTGAAGCCTCCCACTCCTTTACGCAGCGCTTCACCCTCCCTCGGCGGCTATGCTCGTGGGAAAGCGGACTTTGATCCTTATTCTGGCCGGGACAGTGAGAGGTCCTTGAGGCTCTCCGAGAAGCCTCCCTATTCCAAACATAGCTCAAGGAATAAGTCGCACGACAATGTGTACTTTCTCGGGGGCCCGGAAAGCCGAAAGGCCTCCGGCTCGCTTCTGGCCATGTGGAATGGAGGCTCCCCCGGGGACACTGGCCCCTGCCCCACCAGCAGGTCAGGGGCAGCGAGCATGCCTTCCAGTCCAAAGCAAGCCAGAAAAATGAGCATCCAGGACTACCTGATGCTTCCGCCCAAGTTGACCAGACACAGGGAGCCGGCATCTGAAAACATCAGTTTAAGAACTAGGAAGTATTCGGGCAGCAGCCTGAGTCACATGGGAGCCTATAGCCGATCGCTCCCCAGGCTGCACAAGGCCACGGAGAACCAGCTGAAGCCTCTCAGTTTGCCCCCAAGAAACTCTCTGGGCAATTCCAAACGAACAAAATTGGGGGAAAAAGATCTACCTCGTAGCGTAATAGACAATGACAATTACCTGAATTTTTCTTCTTTGAGCTCAGGGGCTTTACCCTACAAAACCTCTGTGTCTGAGGGCAGTCCTTACGTAAGTTCCACACTCAGTGTCCCGGGCAGTCCTCGCCTGGCTCGGAAGATGCTTCTGGCCTCCACCTCCTCCGGTACCTCCGACGACCTTGATAAGGCCTCCTACTCGGGGACCAGCTCGGGCCATTCATTTCCTCCCATAGAGCCAGACAGAGTGTTTACGGCCAGGAGGAACTTCTCTTGTGGATCTGTGGAGCTGGATGATGCAGATTTGGAGAGCCTCAGACAGGCCTCAGGAACTCCGCAGCCCGTCCTTCGGGAACGGAAAAGCAGCATTAGTTCCATTTCAGGACGCGACGACCTGATGGATTATCACCGGCGGCAAAGGGAGGAGAGACTCAGGGAGCAGGAGATGGAGCGACTGGTAATCAGCCTACTTGACCTCACTGTTGTATTGAACAGATTCTTGGAGACCAACTCCAAGGATTTATGTGGGCATGTAGAATTTCCTTGGGCACCAGCCACTGCTGTCCCTTCCTAGAATTTCACTGCTGCCTCTCCTCTTCCCAAATCACTGTTTTTAGTCACCTGTGGATATTTGGTAGGTAGGCTACATTTGCTCAAAGTTATGTTAAGTTGCTCTTTAGAATTCTCATAGGCATAAATTCTGGAGAAACCTAACAAAGGTAGTTGTGAATTTTACTGAATTTCTTAGGTCTTACAAACTTCTTCCTTAAAGGCTGTGAGGAAACGCCAACTTGTATTATGCATATCATCAAACTTGCATGTACATGGTGTGATAGAAATGGTTAGTGACATTACAATGGATCGAGATCTAGGCGGGACTCTGTAGTAAGGTGACTGGAACAGTGAGAGTTTGCTTACATGGTGCCCAACCTCCTTTCTGCACTGTGCCCCCCCACATGCCTCAGGCTCCCCGCAGCCGTGGCTCTCAGTACCACAGTGACTCCCAGCTGCACACACTCAGATGGTTTGACTGGTCTCTTTCTCTATGTCAAATGGATTTATGCTTGTTGTGGAAAATACTGAAAATAATGATAAAGGAAGAAACATTCCTTGAGAGTTTCATAATGAATGGAGAGAAACTAGTACATAGTTCTGCTCTCTTTTCTTTAAACCATAAAGGTTTTCTTATTTGTGTAGTTTTTACGTATAGGACGAATAAGGAATAAGATTTTGGAATCATATATCAGGCTAGTTAATGCCTTATAGGGCAATTCAGTTGCAACCTTTGGATTAATTATAATGAACAGAAACTATTTGCATCTATACAGGACAAAATTTGTTTCACATTTTAGCAAAAGAACCATTTGCATTACTTAGATGTGATATGTTAATGTCTGTTCTTATAGAGTTTCCAAATATCTTAGTATGTGATAGTGAATGAACACAAATGTGGGTATGTCCTTAGACAGCCATTCCTTGGGTGGGTGTTAGATGATGCTCAAATATGATAGTTTCCTTAGTTATCATAATCCCCAGAGATTTTTCATGGTCACAAAAGGCATTGGATTTGAGCTCGATTCATTGGCATAAGTCCAAAGAATTTTTTAAATGCAATCTTCATTGTATTTTTTTCCATTACCATTTAGTCCCCCAAGCAGTCACCACGCTGCTGTCCATACCCATGAGCCCTTTTCCTTTTTGCTCAATCAGAAAGAAGTTTTGATTAACATATGAAAGCCATATTGTATATGGACAGGAAACCTAGCTCTGTACTGTGCTGAACAACTATTATTTATGAAGCCAGAGAATTAACTTCTCTATCTAATCATTTATTAAAGAACCTAGGAGAGCATTCCAGTGATGTCCATCATTCCAAAAATCTTCCTTAAATGCTCTTGTGTACACTTTTATTCCAAGGATATGAAACCAATCTCAAAATTCATTGCTGCTGGGTTTCATCTTTAGCATTTATAAGTGTTGGTGAATTTCTTTTCCCCCTAGTGTCCCCACATCTGCTAAGGTTCCTAGCGGCGGCGAAGTGACTTGCCTTACTGCCTGTAAAGCTGGTGTCTTATCAGCCGCCTTTAGGTCATAATGCAGCTTCTTGGAAGAGCGTTATGGGTACTGGTTCCAGTTATTTTCCCTAATAATGGGCTTGTCATGGCTGATGAAATGAGGCTATTTTTAAGTATGACACTCTAGGTTTGGCCTCTGCTGCATGGTCTGTTTGTCTGATTACAGCCCAGTAAAACCGAGGACAGATTATTCTTGAGTCTCGGCAAGTAATGTTACTGTCATTAAAAAGTACAGTGTTTTAGAAAAAAACATTTCCCCCTGAAATCTGAGGGAACAAGAAGGACCAGCTACCATTAAAAGAATGTTTCATTTAGTTTGCAAAATCATAGTCAACTAAATTGAAGGTTAGAGATAGATCGAGATGAATGCTCAAGGGTTTTCCCATCAGAAAACAGAACATTGGAAATAATACCCATAATTTTCCAAAACACATATTTACATTTAGAAATTAGATTTCCTATGTCAGTTCCACTGGTTCTGTGTAGTTAATTCTTATCCTTCTGCATCTTGGGGCATTAATTTAATTATGTGAAATCCTCTATTTCTGGACTAAGAGAAGCCCTGAAAATCTGATTTAGCTGTTTCTGTTACTGAAACTGTCTCATCCTTTACTCGTCTATGTAATGTCGGCTCAAAAGCCTCTACCTGCAAGTCTGTTCTTTGAATTATTAAGAGTGAAGACTACCTGGTAAAGTTCTATCCATGAGGCTCCAAGACTCTTTGTTCAAGGAACATTTTCGTCTGTAATGTAAGCAGAGTCTTTAGAGAAGCATGAGAGAACAGCAGAGGCTACTGGTGAGGTTAAGAGCCCGTGGCCTTGGTTCATCCTTGGCAGATTTAACAAATACCAGCAAGAAGGAGAGTTAAAAATCTTCTATCAGGGCATAAGATGTTGATTTTTTTTAGTCAGTGTTTCACCTGAGGGTAAAAACCAGAGGATGAGGACATTGGCATATATCCAAGATCTTTCTATAAGTATGTGATCTCTGAGCTTATTTGTATTATATTTTTAAATCCTCACCCAAGAATATGCTAATTGATTTTAGAGAGAGAGGAGTGGGGAGTGAGACAGAGAAAGAGACAACATCAATGTAGAGAGAAACATTAATCAGTTGCCTCCTGTGTGCAGCCCAACTGGTGATCGAACCTGCAACCTAGGCATGTGCCCTGACCAAGAGGGAACATGCAGCCTCTTGGTGCCCTGGACTCTACAGTCCAACCCACCGAGCCACCCAGCCAGGGCATGTATAACAGCATTTTACCTGTACGAAATTAGCCTGGGAAAGGTTGAGCTTCTCATTTGATTTGAGCAATCTTCCTATGCAGTTCCTGACAATGTTGACCTATTTGTAAATAAGGGACATAGCAAGCAAACCTAATTATCTCTGGCATTTGGGGGGGGGTTAGATTAAGGAATAAATCTTTGTGACTGCCTAAGGGTCCTCTGGGAAAATTTAAAGATAATTCAGATATGAAAACTATCCAGGGAAATTTTTTTCTAAATTTAGGGTCTGATCTTGGGAAGGCAGAATCAAATCTTAACCAGTTGTCTGTGCAGTTTTGTTACCTAATAATCAAGGCAGTAATTTATTTTATAAAAAACAAGAAATCTTAAGTCATCTAGAAATGAGAAACTTTTTTGTCATTTTCAATATGCAAGGATACATCCCAGTTAGCATAATGTGCACAAAGTTGCTCTTATGAGATTCTGAAAGTTTGCATTTCTGGGGAGATTACATGGAAAAATATACTTTTACTGCCTTTTGTAAGCATAGGCTGATTTCTCCAAGATCAGTCTGTCTTTTCAATCGAGATAACTGCATTTTAGTTTTGCATTAATTGGGCCCTTGTGTGTATCATTTTTGAAGAAATAATTAGTTCATAAATGCCAAAATTTTAACATTTTCTTGTGTCTTTATAGACGTAACTCTTTGCAGGTATTATAAAACAAGTCAAATAAAGCTCCATTTCTGCAAACCTACACTTTTAAAATTTTCATCAACTTTTGTTCTTCATGGTTTTCTTTCACATACTGGGACAACTAGACACTTTAAGACAGAGGTACTTAAAGGTACTAGAAATTATATTTAACCTGATACATCATAGAACATAATTACTATTGATATAAAAAGGTTGGTTACCATTATAATTTTATTTAGTTGAGTACAAGTTTTATATTTTTCATAATCTTAAGCATCATATGGAAGTAATCTTAGCTTATCTCTTCAAGTAAACTAATATATGACCTTTAAGACACCCAGATAAATTAATCTCTATGATAAACCAAATCCAACTTGTTTAAAAATGAAATTATACTTGTATTATACTATATACACTGATAAAATAAGGCAAAGATATACAGCTGTTTTGAGAATAAGAATTATCAAATCAGTCTGACTTATATAAGCATTTGCTTTGATCATGTAAACTTATTTTCTAGGGGAAAATGCTCATAAAGTCAGCAGTTAAGATGAGAAAGGTTTTTTTCTAAAAGAGGAACACATTAAAATTTTTAGAATCGTTTTGTTTTCTAGAACTTGGGAAATGTTAGGTTTATTTAAATGCTATTGGTCTCTATAAATTAATCAGAAGCAGAGGTCCTTTATTTTAATTTGTTATTATCCTTAGGACGTAGGAAAATATTTCCCCCCCACACAGTGATCTCCCCCCTCAGGCACAGAGACACAGATAAATACAGAACTTATAGTGTGAGTTCTGCTGCTTCAGCCACAGGTGAAGAGTAAATACTGGAACACACAATATCACTGTTCCAGATCTCAACAGACCGGTGGCTTATTTGTTGGGCACCAAATATTGTCCTGATTTGAACTCACAAGTAGGAAAAACAACCACCAAATTAAAACCAACAGCTAACAAATGTCCAGTCAGCTTTCACCTGAGCAAGAGTAGGTTCCAGGTCTGCTGGACAGATCACCAAGTGGTCAGGCTGTAAAACCTGCTTCCCAGTCACTGCTGCCACGGAGGGCTTGTAACAATTGTCTGTGTGCAGACCAAAACCTGGATCAAACTTGGCCGAGATTCAGAAACAAAAACAAGAGCATAGGGTAGGAAAACAAAACCTTCAGAGAATACTGAGTCCGTGAAGGTGAAGTTCTACTGCCATTTGGGATTTGCTCCAGCAGCCAAGAAAAGCTCTGCCTGGGCTTCCAGCCCATGAGATACATGCTTCATGCGCAATGCAGTCCACTTGGACATTTCACTGGGACCTCCAAATTGTCAAAGCCTGATTTTCAAAAAATAAACACAACTCTTACACAAATACAGAATGAAAAGATGCCAAAGATTTATTGAATTCATTAATGAGGACACCAAGCAGGCATAAAGATGGTTCACAAAGCATAATTTCTGTGGTATTTTTTA